CCAGGCTGGGGATTTGAACCCGCCACCTTAGGTGTATGTGGCTGGCGCCTTAGCCGCTTGAGCCATAGGCGCCAAGCCAAGAAATTCAAACATTCCTAGAATTTGTCTCCATGACAGTGGACCATAGGACTATATTAGGTTATGTAGTTAGTGTTCTGTTGTTCTAGTTTGCTTCAGAAAATACCATTATAGAAAGCATTCTTCATGGACATTTAATCAGGTATGAGTGAATCTATATTTGTGTGATAGTTGTCCCGTATACTTTGCCTCTAGTAGTGTGATATCCTCAGTAATTTGTAAATTCACTTTTACACTTCTAAAGTAAAACTAGTTTTCCACTAGTTGGTTGCATGATGAGCAGTTTTACTTTTGTTGGACAATACATGTGTGAAGTTGGCCCTAGAGTTTCAACCACAAATGAACATGACCATATAAACATGTAATATTCAGACACAATTTTCATAAGAGTACAGAACATTGGCCAATATTGGTTATTCAGTAAACTGTAAGGGTTGCAGTGAGAAAATCTTAGACATTAAGATTCAATTGTGATCTGTTTAGGGTCCTGTTGTGATATTTAATGAAAATAATACTTTTTTCCCATTTTTTACTTTTAGGATTGTTACCCCTGTGAGTAAATTACATTTTCGAGTGTGGAGTCACCAGACACTGAAATCTGATGTTTTGTTGGGAACTGCTGCATTAGATATTTATGAAACTTTAAAGTCAAACAATATGAAACGTATGTATATAAGAGTAATAGAAATTGCTCCTAGTTGTTTGTATTTTCTGGAAGAAATTCACGTGTCAGATGTGCATGATTCATGTTCATTCAGATCTTTAAGTTTCCTTGGCTGTAAGATGAATGGAGAGAGGAATCTTGAACTCTTTCCACAATGACTTTTTTTGTTTATCTATATCATGAAAAGTATGCATGGATCTTTTTTTTTTTGCTAATCAGGTTTTGTTAGTGTGTTTGTGTATTTAATGTGTGGCCCAAGACAATTCTTCTTCCAATTTGCAGCAGAGAAGAAAAAAGGGTAAACATCCCTGAACATGTTTATCTGTATAGTTAATATAGACATGTTAAAAATTTGTAAGTTTTTTGTTCAGTATATCATAATTTTAAAACATTTTTTCTACCCCTTGTCTGTCTAAAATATCTAAGAATTTTCTTTCTCATTTAGGGCTTATCAGATATAATCCATTCTTAAATTATATTTTCACTCAATATAATGCAGGTATATATTGCTAAATAACCTTTGTTGTCATGCTGGCCCATTGTATGCTGTGGTTTTAACAAAGACAGAATAAATATAATAAATTAAATGATTGTTGGGAGGCGCTTGTGGCTCAGAGGAGTAGGGCACTGGCCCCATATGCCGGATGTGGTGGGTTCAAACCCAGTCCCGGCCAAAAACTGCAAAAAATATATATATACATTTATATATATATATATATATATAAAAAATGAATTAAATGATTGAGATATTTAAAATTTTGTATTGTAGATATTAACATTAGCAAATTTTGTTCACTTAAAATGTTTTGGTGTCAAAAAGACTCAAATCTTGGGTAAAGTATAGTATAATAATTTATGTATACATATACTGTAGAACCTCTGTAAGTTGGCCACACAAGGGACTTTAACAAACTAGTCACCATGTGGAGGTCATTAACATAAGGAACTAGGCCTACTGTACTGATAGATACATGTGGTGCACGTCTAGTCTATGAAAATTGGGTCACCTTATGGAGGTGGTCAACGTAGGGAGGTGATCAACTACAGAGGCTCTTTTGTATTTATTTTTTTTCTAACAGTAGATTTTTACCAGTTAAGATGGCTTAAAGGAAAAAAGCAATGACCATTTTTTCCCTATAATTTTATTTTCTTCCAGTTGAAGAAGTAGTTGTGACTTTGCAGCTTGTAGGTGACAAAGAGCCCACAGAAACAATGGGAGACTTGTCAATTTGCCTTGATGGGCTACAGTTAGAGTCTGAAGTTGTTACTAATGGTGAAACTACATGTTCAGAAAGTAAGTGATCTCTTTTTGTAAGTTTTTAATGATTCTTCTTACATAATATAGCATACTATGTGTACTATAGTATATTATATGTATTATTGTTTTAATTCTATTTCAGATAAAGGAAATAATTTTTTCCTTTTTAAAAAACAGACATTGATTTCTTTTTTTTGCCTCTTAGGTTCTAGAAGACATTGATCACTTTTAACATTTACTTTTCATGCATTGTTTCTGTGAACAAAAACACTTATATTTTTATGTGAGTTGAAAAACTAGCCAGATAAGTGAGAAACAAGACTAGCAGAGTAGAAGTTGAATCATAATTGGCATGATGAGTAAGGAATTAATATATGAGTCAATAAATCTGTCAGCCAAGGATGGCAATTAATATGACATGGTAGATGCCACACCTCTTCCACTGTCAGTGGCAGACATGGTTTATCGTACATAGCAGTATCTGGTTGAGTATAAATGTGATGCTAAATCCTCTTAGTACCATATCAGATAGCCAATAAAAGCTGAAATTCTTTCACTTTACTTCTTTTATTTCTGTGGGCCATACTTACAGAGAGATCTTATGACAAATCAATTCATTACATGTGTGCCAGTATATCTTACAATTTATGATTTACTAGTCTGTGTTGAAGGGGAATAAACATGAGTTGAGATTGAAAGAAGTTTCTGGTTCACTCCTATAATCTTGACGCTTTGGGAGCCTGAGGTGGGAAGATCTCTTCAGGCCAGGAGTTTGAGATTCACCTGAGAAATATAGTGAGGTTTTATTCCTACAACAAAAATAGAAAAATTACACAGGTAGGGTAGCATGTGCATATAGTCCCAGCTACTCAGAAGGCTTGAGGCAGGACAATTACTTGAGCCCAGAAATTTTGAGGTTGCAATGAGTTGTGAAGCTATGATGACAACACCACTGCTTTCTAACCTGTGCAAGTGAGCAAGACCTTGTCACCAAAAAAAAAAAGTTTCTGGTGGCACATGAGTTAGTGGCTGCACAGCTAACATATGTAGTAAAACATCTTCCTACCATATTCCCATAGATATTTTCTATCACTAATATGATAAGTGTATTTACACTTTAAACATAGATTTTAGGGCCCAAGACAAAGAAAGAATAGATTTTAATGTATTCCTTGATCAGTTTGACAAAGTTCTTTTGGTTTACGTAGAAACGGCATTATAAAATATCTTGCAGGTGTTATTCTTCATTTTCTATGTTGTTGGAAGACCTCCTACTTCCTCTTTAATTCATGACTTTTTAAAACAGCAGGACCCTCAAGATAGTCCTGGTATGTCTTCCAGATTGGTTCCTTGGGGCTAGTGAGGGGAGAAAGAAATTCCTGAAATTGGTATAGTGCTTCAGAGTTGACACCTTAATTGACTACTTGTTCACAAGAACTCTACATAATAGTCACATTTTTCTATATGTAAATTGAAAGTCTGGAGAGTTAGGGCAGCGCCTGTCGCTCAGTTAGTAGGGCGATGGCCCCATATACCGAGGGTGGCAGGTTCCAATCCAGCCCTGGCCAAACTGCAATAAAAAAATAGCCAGGCATTGTGGTGGGCACCTGGAGTCCTAGCTACTCCGGAGGCTGAGGCAAGAGAATCGCCTAAGCCCAAGAGCTGGAGGTTGTTGTGAGCTGTGATGCCACAGCACTCTACCAAGGGTAACAAAATGAGACTCTGTCTCTAAAAAAAAAAAAAAAGTCTGGAAAGTTAAATTACATTGCCAACTACCATAAATCTCGGTATTTATCGCTTCCTAAGTTCTTCTTCCAAAAGTTGAAACTTACTGAAGTAAAATATTTAATAGTTCACAAAAGTAAAGTTTGTTAGTCTTCATATTTCAGTATTTCTGTGTCACCAGTTTTCCACTCAAGTAGGAAAATAATTGACAGTGAGAATTTAACCTAATTATTTGAAGTAAAGAGAAGTTTTAAATGGAAAGTCACAGCGGATTTTAGGGTTGGAGTTGTCAGATACAATAGCTCTAGTTTGTTGAGTGCTTAACCATCTGACAAGCACTGTGTTGGTGTATTTACATGCATTTTCAGTCACAACTTTGGTGTATTTACATGCATTAACAGTCACAACTTTGTCAAGTGTTACCTGCATTTTGCAGATAAGTTAGGCTCTGAGAGTTTAAATAGTATTTCCAGTACCATGCAAACTAGTATGGAACAGTTAGAATTGAAGCATACTTATTTGTTAATGTAATTTCTTTCCAGTATTCTATTACTTACAATGCCTTAGAAACACTAAATCAGATTATGAGTTATAAGTAAACAAAACCAGTTCAACTTTCAAGCATGTTTAGTGGGAACTCCACTTGTTCCTTGCTCCTTATCTGTAACTTTTGACTATAATTTCTAGCACCTAGGCATCATTTAATTGCATAAGAACTAGCAAAATGGCTAGGCATGGTGACTTATGGACTCTGGAAGGACGAAATGTAGGATTGCTTGAGCTCAGGAGTTTGAGACCAGCCTGCACAAGACTGAGACTCTCTATTTATTTATTAAAAAAAAAAACTAGGGAGGAAATTGCTTTTGAAGTTTAATACAGTAGAACCTCCATAGTTGACCATCTCCCCCCATTGACCACTTCCTTAAGTTGACCTTATTTTCATAGACTGGACATGCAGTCTGTGGACTTATCAGTACACTAGGCCTTGTTCCTTATGTTGGCCACTTCTGTATATTGACCAGTTTCTTATAATCCCTTTGAGGTCGACAGACAGAGGTTCTATTGTATTTTTTCCAATATTACATGTCATTAGTTTCTTTTTCCTGACCATTTTCATTCATTTGTTGTTTGTGAAAGAATAGGTGATTCTTAAAAGAAATCTGTTCATCTGTTCTTATAGACCTTACTGTTCTTAGTTTACTTATTTTTGAGACAAAATATCACTCTGTCACCCATGCTAGAGTGTAGTGGCATGGTCATACCTTACTGCAACCTCAGACTCCTAAGATCAAGCCTCCTGAATAGCTAGGACTACAGGTTTGTGTCATTATGCTCAGCTAATTCTTTCTGTTTTTTTGTGGAAATGGGTATGTCATCATGTGCCTAGGCTGGTCTTGACCTCCTGATTACAAGTGACCCTCCCACCTCAGCCACCCTAAGTGGTAAAATTACAGGTAGGAGATTCACAGCTGGCCTCAATTTATTTATAAATATAATGTTTATATAGCCAGACGTTGTGGCAGGTGCCTGTAGTGCCAGCTACTTGGGAGGCTGAGGCAAGAGGATTGCTTAAGCCCAAGAGTTTGAAGTTGCTGTGAGCTTTGACGTCATGCCATTCTACTGAGAGAGACAAAGTGAGACTCTGACTCCAAAAAAAAAAAAGTTTGTAAAGTGAAATCTCTGTCTGAGTTTTGATATTAAAAGTCACCAAATAATAGCTTGCCATTTAGCTATTTAGACAGTGTCTTGCTCTGTTGCCTGGGCTAGAGCTTTGTGGTATCATCATAGCTCACTGCAACCTCACGTATTTGGGTTCAGGTGATCCTCCTGGCTCAGCCTCCTGAATAGCTAGAATTATAGGCACTTGTCATCACACCCAGCTAATTTTATGATTTTTTGTACAGATAGGGGTCTAGCTGTATTGCTCAGGCTGGTCTCAAACTCCTGAGCTCAAGTGATACTTGGTCTCCCAACTTTCTGACATTATTGGTGTGATCCACTGCACCTAGCCTTATTACGTATTTAGATATAGAGGCATCTTGGAGATATTTCAGGTTTGGTTCCAAATACCTACAATGAAGCAAATATCTGGCTCCGTGCCTGTAGCTTAGTGGCTAGGATGCCAGTCATGTACACTGGAGCTGGCTGGTTCAAATCTAGCTTGGGCCTGCCAAACAACAATGACAACTACAACCAAAAAAATAGCCGAGTGTTGTGATGGGTGCCTATAGTCCCAGCTACTTGGGAGTCTGAGGCGAAAGAATCACTTAAGCCCAAGAATTTGAGGTTGCTGTGAGCTGTGACACCATGGCACTCTACACGGGGCAACAGCTTGAGACTCTATCTCAAAAAATAAATAAATAAATAATAAAGCAAATATCACAATGAAGTAAGTCACACAAATTTGTTGGTTTCCAAATATATACTATGTTTACACCACACTGTAAACTGTTCAGTGTGCAATAGCATTATGTACGATGAAATGTACATATATTACTTTAAAAATACTTTTTTGCTAATAAATTCTAATAATCACCTGAGTCTTTAGCAAATTGTCATCGATTTTGTAGTTTAATACAGTAGAACCTCCATAGTTGACCATCTCCCCCCATTGACCAGTTCCTTAAGTTGACCTTATTTTCATAGAGTCTTGCCTTGATATTGATAGCTGTTCACGGATCAGGGTAGTGGTTGCTGAAGGTTGTGGTGGCCATGGGCAATTTCTTAAAATAAGAACAATGAACTTTGTTACACTGATTTGTCACTTCCTTCACAAAAGGTTTTTGTCTGTAGTGCGTGATACTATTTTTTCTTATGTAATTGAAACAGAGTCTCACTTTGTCACCCTTTGTATATGCTATGTTGTCATAGGTCACAGCAACCTCATACTCTTGGGCTCAAGTGATTCTTTTGCCTCAGCCTCCCTAGTAGCTGGGATTACAGGTGCCCAGCTTTTTTTGTTGTTGTTGTCATTTAGTAGGCCCAGGTTGAGTTCAAACCTACCAGCCCTAGTCCATGTGACTGGTGCCCTAACCACTGAGCACAGGCTCCCAGCTGTGTGTGATACTACTTGATAGCATTTTACCTGCAGTATAAACTTCTTTCAAAGTGCTATTTAATCCTTTAACTGTGCTACTCTTTAGCTGCTACATTTGTATAATATTCTAAATTTTTTTGTTGTCATTTCACAGTGTTTATAGCATCTCTATCAGGAGTAGATTTTACTTCAACAGACTACTTTTTAAAACTTTATTTTATTTTTTTAGAGACAGAGTCTCACTTTGTTGCCCTCAGTAGAGTGCTGTGGCATC